AAAAGCACATGACTATGTTAAAAAATATCAGTAACTATTCAAAGGTTTACTAGATTTGCATATATAATAAATACTTCAGGAAAAGTGGGTGAACATTTCAGAGAATGAGCAAAAAGAGCAATAGCCAAAACATGTTCTAGAAAACATTTATATATATCTGCTGGTGATGGAATAAATTATTGAGCAGTATTTTTCCAAGTCAGGGTTTTATATATTGAAACTTAAGAAATCTATAAGAATATATGTTATATGCACTTAAGTCATAAAAGTAAATAGCAAAATTGATTGTGTTACTGATTGTATTAAATCATAAGGCACACTATAAATACTTTAGCATTTACATAATGGAACAAAAGACAATTTCCACATTGATATAGAAGCCAAAAAAGCTTTATATAGTGCTGGAAATCAGTCAATCTGTACAAAAAACCTTCTGTTTGAGCAAATGTTAAGACTTTTGACACAATTATAGTTTTGCTTAAATAAAAACTGAAAATAATTTTAAGAAATAAATGCATATTTATTATTTTTAACAAAATAAACTCATGCATTTCATTGCTTATTTGGTTGTCCAAATTTAGGATGAAATAGGACTTCAGATTCTAGGGGAGTCTTACTAGCTATGTTCAAGTCTATGCAGGAAAGCCACAGGGAAGTTAATAATAAGCTATTTTCATGGCCTCAAAAACCAAACCCAGAAATTACAGATATAAGTTGCAGCTACCTACATTTCATTTAACTATTGGGAATCTTGCCAGGGAAAACATAGCATCAACTTTAGCTACAAAATGATAACTAAACACTAGCTCTAGGAAGAAGTGTAGAATGCTATTGAATTCTTACACCATAATTTTTTTGGAAAAATCTGAGATGCAGTGAATGCACATTGCAACAACATGCTTCTTATTCACTTTGGAGCATGCAACATTTAATTTTAGAATCAGTGGATGTTTTTGACAGAAAGATACAGTTTAACATATATCAAGGTTTCACAATGCAATAAACGAAACACCATCAAGCATATTCATACCTGCTACACCCACTTTTAATTGCAATGTGTGTTCAAATTTTAACATTTAGCTTCACTAATTGTATTTCTTGCATACTCGCCTTTAATAGAATAAGTTCTAAATAAGTATCCTAGATCATGCAGAGTACATTCAGAATAAATAATGCAGTACAAGTCCCAAGGCCAGAATTAAGATTCCAATCCAATGTGGGAAGCACAGAAAATAAAAACTCCTTTGCCTTTGATGTGTTTACCGAAACTGCAACACCTAGCTTAATAGTAGGATAATGTACAAAGGGCTAAAGTTAAAGCCTTTGCCTCTAATGGACATACTTTTAAATTAGTGAAGACCCTTAGCTCTTTCTCCCCAAATGTAGACATATTAATCTGCAATTTAAATAAATTCATTCTATTTCAAGATAGTGAATTGAGAAAATTAGTTTCAAAATGAGGAAACTATTGATAAAGAAAATTTCATGAGAAAGAACATATTCTCTAGCTGCTTTTTTAGAAGCCCCACATCTTCTCTTTCTAAGGAGCTTGGTAAAGTCCACATAATACCCAAGTATCTTGATCTCAACTCCAAGCCTAAAAATATGATTTTGCCACTCATCTTGACGACAATCTTACAGGTGTCCACTTTGGACTAAGTTTGACTGAATTCAACGGGTCACACTGTAAGGTTTTTTAAAATATACTCTCTGCAATGTTTGTACTACTCACCAGCAGTTTACTCAACACAGATTTCTCAAAGAACAGAATAATCATGTTCTTTGTGGATTTATTCTGTTCTTTGAGAAATCTGTGTTGAGTAAACTGCTGGTGAGTAGTACAAACATTGCAGAGTATTTTCTATATTTTCCATTTCAAATTCTATACTTATTTACCTTTTATACTTTCGCTTTTTAATTCACATTTTCAGTCATGTGTGTCAAATTCTTTTGACAATCTTACAGTGAGGCCTTTCTGAATGCAAAGCAGGTAGCCTACCAACTAAACTGGGTAAGCATTACTACCGTCTGCTCTCAAACCTGTATCCATCTCAATCAGGGTTAGAGTAAGCATTCAAAAGTTTTGAAAATGGTACAAAACATCTGGATTCTGATCAAGGGTAAGCTGCAAAATGTTAACAGTTTAATGAAACGAAACAGAAAGTATCTTAACTGTTTTGAGTCTGCAATAATTGAAAACAAGTTCGATCTGTTCTCCTCAATTTGACCTAAAACGCACGAGCCAAACGGGGTCTTAATTTTGTTTTAGTACCAGTGAGATAGTCATTGTTAGATCAGCGCACCCCAACATTAAAGCTAACATTCGAAGTGTGTGAATAAACGGGGATCTCTCTCAGCAAAACATCTGCTTTCAATTTCAAGCCGCCCCAGACAATCGTCAAGCAGGACTTTTGGCGCCCAGTCAAGTTTAAATAGGAATTAAGACTAACGCCATTCCACAAATATTGACTCCAGGGAAGCCTCCCGGAGCGCCACTCCGGCCCCCCGTCTCGACACCCCTGAGTGGCCAGAAGAGAACAAATCCTGGCGGGTTATTCCCGCTTTCCGAGAGGAACCCGCCCACCGCCCAGCTGTCCCAAGCACTTCGAGCGCAGGGGCTGCTTGTGGGGTGTCAACTCCTCGTTGACTTCCCCACCCGAAGCACCCCGAACGTCTCTCCCGCTTCCCCGAGGGTACCTGCTGGTCTCCAGGGACGAATAGCGTTCGGGCAAAATCTGAAGGCTGCGTTGGAAGAAGCGCACGTGGCGTTCCTTGAGGAAATCCAGCCTTTCCCCGTCCCCAAAGCCTCCCTCGTCTTCCACCAGCACCGTGCTCGCCATGTTGGTCTTCCGCTTCCTACTCTCGCACGCAGCTCCGTCACCGGCGGCACCGTCATGTGACGCAGCCACAACGCTGGGCCTTTTTTTTCCCTCTTCTTCTTTTAGCGGCCGCGACGGCAACAACCGGCAGCTGACAGGCCTTCGTTCCGCCTCTTGCGCCTGAAGAAGTGGGGTTAAGCGGCGTTGGCGCCAAGCGAGAGCAGCTTTAAAAATGCTCCGATCGTTCGTGCCTGACAGCCACCGCGGCATTGGGTAGCAATGGGCAACTTTTTGATAGATAGATAGATAGATAGATAGATAGATAGATAGATAGATAGATAGATAGATAGATAGATAGATAGAAAGTTGCCCATTGCTATCCAGTGCTGAGGTGGCTGTCAGGCACGAACTATCGAAGCATTTTTAAAGCTGTTCTCGCTTGGTGCCAAAGCCAAGCTATATATATATATTTGTCATGGGATCAGGCATACAGTTCCCAATAAAGGAAAATATTTGTAGGTCACGGTTGAAATGAGGGTGCTCTCTGAACTTGCTTGTTTTCTTCCAGATGTTTCATTACCCTAACTAGGTAACATTATTAGTGCTAGTAAGGAGTATTGTTTGCTGTCAGTGTATAATCATAATAGTACTCACTAGCACTGATGATGTTACCTAGTTAGGGTAATGAAAGGTCTGCAAGAAAACAAGCAAGCTCAGCGAGCACTAAGGATCCCTCACACACACTTGCACAATTACAGATTATTCTATTTACATAGCTTGATCCAGAAAAAATAGATTTGACAACTTTGGTAGCTTCAGTGTGCAGAAATATAAGGAATGTAGTGTCTGTCCAAGAGCCTTCTGAAATTATGTATTTCTCATTGATAAAACATAATAATCCGAAGACCATATGCTACAAAGGCTGACATAGGTTATTAAAATTGAGGTATCGTGTGGCAAAACATGGATCTATACTATATTTTATGCAGGTCCTCTAGATTTTTACAGGGGAACTTCCAAAATTATCATAAATCCTAAAATATATCTGAGCTTGTACAATTAAAATAAACATTTTGTTCAGTAGCATTACAGTGACAGTGAAACAAGGAATTATGTTACAGTATTTTGTGTGCTGGACAATTTTTTACAGGGAGTTTCCATGCCACAATACTCATTCTTTACAGCATCAGCACTGCATTTAAGAGTGATGTGCAAGATCCCAAATCCAATCTTTTGGAGCTCAGAGATAAACAACTGAAAAAAAAAGTTATGGAACTTTGTTTTCATGTATGATAACTAGGGCAAGATTACAATGTGCTCCAAAGTTTGATAAAGCCACAATGGACAAATGGCTGGTGAAGGTGATGACATTTCCATAGATGGCTAAATTAACTTCTTCACTTAGAGTGAAAACAATATCTACACATATGGGTGACTGGAAACCCTTTATTAGACGTTGTATATAATGAAAACAATGCACTTACAATGTATGGTGTTGATAATTAGAAAAATAACTGGATAATAGAGTGAGATTTCTTTTGTCATAGAGTAAGAGATAATTTTGTAATTGTAGTGACAGTATATTTGCTGCAAAAGAAATCAGACGTTTCTATTTCTTTCTCTTTTGGCACGACTGACTTTTTCCCCTTTTCTTTCTCTTTTCTGCTTTTTCATTAGTCTGCCTTCGTTTTTATGTTTTTTTAACATTTTAAAATAAAGTTTAAGTTGTACAACTTAATCATAGAGCTTACTTTGAAACATTTTCAATTTTTTGGAAGACTGCAGAAAGAAAATAATACTCTGCCTCTTTCTAGGGTTTTTAAATCTGTAATTTTGTTTGTAAAAATTATTAGTTTTGAAGGATAGTGATTAAGAAATAACTCATTTCTCTATAACAAGACTTATTATTTTCTGTCCCATTTTAGGAACATTGAAGATATTATCTGCTTACCCTCTTAAATTAATGTGAGATACATTATGTAATCAATCTACTAAGTAAAGCAAAGAAAAAACACTTGTTAATTTTCTCTGTTTATTTCTGGGCTGAAAATAACCATGAAAGTATGTAGAAAGCAATGCATTCACTTTTTTCTGAGCTTTACAGAAAGAGGTCACTTGCTAAATCCAGGTTCTAGAGAAAAAAAATTCAAACCAAAAAAAAAAAAAAGCTTTTGCAAGTACTTTACACAATGAAACAATATATACTTGACTTTTATTTAACATAACATTTATATGTATATGTACAACATTTCTCATATATAATACAAACTAACAACAATACATTATGTTGTTATATTATCTTCAAATAAATTATTTGCAGATGTCCAATTATAATCCCTGTCGCCAACTTGGGACAGCCCTATCAATGTAAAAATAGATTAGTATCTTGCAAATACACGAATCATATAAAAGTACATTAATCATATAAATATTTAAATGTAATTTAATTTAAGATGTACATTAATCATATAAAATATTTCAATTTTCTCACCTATGAGGAATGTACAACACTGGCCCTGTACCTATAGGTCCAATCTCTTTTGTTCGTTCTTCCCAAACTTTTGTAGGTCTGAATAACCTGCATGGATCCCGAGTTACATTAATGTGAACCTGTTAATAGTGAAAATACAGAAAAAGTAATTGAAGGAATTGCAAATACAAATTTTATTTATTTTTATTTATTTTATTTGATTTGATTTCTATACCGCCCTACTCCCGAAGGACTCAGGGTGGTACACAGCCAAACAATAAAATACATACATACAAAATTTAAAAGTGGAATTAAAATCAAATTAAATAGTTTTGGCCCAGACAAATTTAAAACCCCAATCAATTTAAAACCAATTTTAAAATTTGAGTATATAAAATACTAAAAAATATTAAAAATTAAAAATCTTTTATAAAAGAGGGAGAAAAATTAGGCCAGGCCCGCCTGGTGAAATAAAAAGGTCTTTAAAGCGCGGCGGAAGGTGCGCAGATCCGAGATCCTCCGTATCTCCGGGGGGAGCTCGTTCCAGATAGTAGGTGCCCCCACAGAGAAGGCTCTACCCCTGGGGGCCGCCAGTCGACATTGTTTGGCCGACGGCACCCGGAGGAGCCCCTCTATGGGAGCGTACCGGCCGGTGGGAGGCTATTGGTAGTAGGCGGTCCTGCAAGTACCCAGGTCCTGAGCCATGGAGAGCTTTAAAGGTGGTAACCAAAACCTTGAAGCGCACCCGGAAGACCACCGGGAGCCAGTGCAGTTCGCGCAGGAGGGGTGTTACATGGGAACGCCATGTCACTCCCATTACCACCCGCGCGGCCGCACTCTGCGCCAGTTGGAGCCTCCGGGTGCTCTTCAAGGGGAGCCCCATGTAGAGAGCGTTACAATAGTCCAGGCGGGAGGTGACGAGGGCATGAGTGACTGTGCGTAAGGAGTCCCAATCCAGAAAGGGACGCAACTGGCGGATCAGGCGAACCTGATGAAAAATCCTCCCAGTCACGGCCGTCAAGTGCTCTTCTAAAGACAGCCGTGAATCCAGGAGGACGCCCAAGTTGCGCGCCCTCTCCGTGGGGGCCAATGATTTGCCCCCAATAGTCAGTGATGGCACCAACTGACTATATCAGGACGTCGGAAACCACAGCCACTCAGTCTTGGATGGGTTGAGCCTGAGCCTATTCCTCCCCATCCAGATCCGCACGGCCTCCAGGCACCGGGACATCACTTCAAGGGCATCGTTGGGGTGGTCTGGGGTGGAGATGTACAGCTGGGTGTCGTCAGCATACTGGTGGTACTGAATCAAACAATAAAGAGTAAGAAGTAAACTTGCATAGCACTGTACTTTTATTATTGCAGAGCCCAAAATACTATTTGTTTGGATTACAGATCTAGCAATTTATTATGCATCTGATTCCTGCTGGATACTTAGAACAAAGATGCAAATCGAAAGAGTGGTGACTACTAACAGAAAAGAAGTCAAATGGGACCAGACAGTAATTGCAGAGTGGTACCAAACCGGATGGAACCAAGACGACTAGAAATGCAAAACTTAAATTTCAGTCCACCTTGATTATTACTCCCAACATTTCAGCCTATGAATCGTGATTAGATGCTATGTTTCCATTGCTATTACAAATAATTAAAATTTAATAAAAATAATATACATTTCACATATTGTTTAATATTTAAAGTTCAACTGAAAACAATTTTGCACAAAGTAGTTTTACTGAATTCCAAGGGGCTTACTAATTACTGTATTTTTCAGAGTATAAAACGCACCTTTTTTCCCCCTAAAAGGGGGTGAAAATTTAAGTACGTCTTATACATCGAATGTAGCCCCGCCCATCCACTGGCCCTACCCTTTGGCCTCTGTCTCACAGCAGTTACCTCCTTGCAAGCAAACAGCAAGAAAAAAACAGCTTTCAGCTTCAGCACAGTCTAATTAGCACAAGTTGATTGGATCGGCCTCCCGACTCTCAGCTGATCTGCTCTCAGCTGTTTTGTGCAGCGCTCTGCTGCTTGCTACAAAGAGGTAAATTGCTGGAGCAGTTTTTTTTCCCCCTTGTGTTAATCAAGCTATGCTGAAAACGAAAATGAAAGTAAAGAAGGCTGTTTGCTGCAAGGAGGCAAAATTGCTCAGAGGCAGAGGGAGATTTCCTTTTCTTCTTCTCCTCACCAAAAAAGGTAGGTGTGTCTTATACTTCGGTGCATCTTATACTCCAAAAAATACAGTATATACGAGGCATTAAACTAAAGTCTGGGTCAACAATCCTAAAACGCTTAGAAGAAACACCAAATAAATCCATTAGGAAGTACTGTTGATTCATCATCTCTACAGTTTTAATTTAAATTTAATTTCTAGAGAAGAGAAGGCAGTTAGATAAGATCCCATTTTATTTTTAAAATGACATGCAGTTTGCACACCTAATTGCATTACTCTCAACTCAATTTCTTTTCCATTTTCTTTCATTCTAACCTATTTACAACTTTTCCCCTTGCTTCCATATGGGTGACTAAATTCCAGTTTCAGGATATTATATAATGATATTTCAATAAGAGACTAATATGTGATAATTTTTAAATGCCAGAATTATTTGAAGTCAGTGGTACACTTCTGAGAAATGTACATGGGACTAAGATATATAACATATTCAATTCTTACCTTCTTTCTCAGCTTAGACAATCTTTTTTCTTTTTCAATCTTTTCATCTTCCTTTGCCTGCTTTTCTAGAAACTTCAGCTCAAGTTTATGCAGATCCTGAATAAAATAAATGAAATATTGCTCCCTCTCTCTCTCTCTCTCTCTCACACACACTCTTGTTTGAGATAGACTACCATATAAATTGAATAAATAAACAAATAAGAAAACTTATATATAAAAATAGTTTGTTGTTTTAACAGCTAAATGGTCACTAAACAGGACTACCTATGACTGCCCTGCATTCTCATAGAACACAGGGATACCCGAGCGTTGCAAAAACCTGCTTTGGAGACCTTTCTGCAGGCAGAGAGATATAAAGATCAAATATTGGTTAATGGGTTTTTTAATTGGATTTTTTTTCAAGTCCACATTAAACATGAACAATAACCTCATTATAGTCTATGCTAATGCTAATACTGGGATGTGATATTAGTGAACAGACTATAGCTAATCTCTTTTTAAAAGTACAAGTCAAACACGGTCAATGAATAAGAAATTTCAGATGTAGGCAAGGAAGAGGCATTTGATTAAAAACACAAGGAGGTCTAAATATGAAATTCAACTAGAAAGTGAAGCAAATAAAGGATTACATTTTTCATATAAGGACTTGAGAAACATGTTTCTAATCCCCTTGAAGATAATAAAACAAAGGTAATCGGTATGCCTTTGATATAGTTTGTTCCCTGAAGGAAGGTTCACTGCTCTCCTTATGGCCTTCTCAAGAAGAATGAAGAATTATTCTTTCAGAACACCTTTAGAAATTACTTGTATATTGTTCTCAGTAGCGAGATTATTAGTTTTTATTGTTATATCATCATGATATTATATATATGCTATTTTGTTATTCTGTGATATTTTGCATTTTACCCAGAGTACTTCAGAATTGGCAAAGACCATTCGTATGGATAAATAAACTGCAGTCTATTCTGACATTTTCAAACTTAATATAGTATATTCTTTGATAACATAGAAGATCCTTCTTTTGCTTTAAAGAAATACTGGGGAGACAACTGCTACATGCATTTGTTTTTCATAATTACTGTCTCATCACTTCAATTCTTGATTACCCCAATCAGATAATTATGTTAGGCCTAGATGAATAATTCTTTTAGAAATAATTCTTAAGATTTGCCATTTTTAATGGAAACAATTGTATCCAGATGAGACAAATCAATTGAATTTTAATGTTCATCACAAAGAAGCTTCATACACTGATAAGAGAATTGTCCTTCTCATATGAAAACACAGGGAAACAAGAAATAAATATGGAAGAGATAAACAAGACTACTCACTCGTTCTTGGAATTTAACAATTTCTTCTGCTGCAGATCTTTTCTTCTCTTCCCTTTCAGCTTCCTCTCTTTTTTCTTTTTCAAGTCTCAGTAGCTCTTCTTGTTCCTTTTTCTCTCTACTATAATCTTCCAACAGTAACTTCATTTGAAGTTGCCGCTGACGTTCCCTCTGCTTTTTTTTCTCCTTCTCTTCTTCCTCTTTTAACTGAGCTTCCTGTTTTGCTGCAGTTGCAAGTGCTTTGTCTTTCTTCCATGCTTCAAGCTCTGCTAATCGTTTTTTCCTTTCCTCTTCAGTTTTCTGCTTCTGAGCTTCTTCACGCTCACGTTGAATATCAGAGGGCTCTTCCTCAGGATTCTCTTTCTGGACTAAGATTTTACCTTTTTCTTGTTTCTTCATCTTCCATTTTTGAATGGCCTAGAGGATTACGATAAAGTGAATAAAATAGTTCATAAATTTATCATGCCATTTCTAATCCTCTGAAAGAAAACAGGACCTAAGATGTACAATTAGGTCCATAGGTGACGTCATGCTTCTGAAGAGATATTAAAAATCTGTTTGACAACTGTGAGAAACAAATTACTATACTAGGATATACTAGGATAGTAATTTTGGGGTGATCTACCAGGGCTTTTCTGGTCTTATAACTATTAGTCATAAGTCGAGGACTACCTTATTATGATTAGGAAATAACAACTAAACTTCTGTAATACTTTGTTAGACTATTGAATGCTTTCACTTTTCAATGGAAAAGATTTCCATAGCCTTGTTAGATATGAGTCTTAAATGCAGAATTATACATTCTGATCAAAGTTGAATAAATTCCAGTCTGTATGACTATCACCAAACCCGGAGAATAGAGAAACAACGAACAACTAGGTGAATGTTTGTTGGTGGGGGAATTATAGGCTGTAAGAATTTTTTTTAAAAAGGGATATAGAATAATAAAAAGAGACAGACAGAGAACAAAGGGGTCCCATATATAACTCCCCCAAAAAACAATCTATAACAATCTATAGGTAGTCCTTGAGTTACAACCACAATTCAGCCCAAACTTTCTGTTGCTAAGTGAAACAATTGTTAAGTGACTTTTGCCCTATTTTATGACCATTCTTGCCACAGTTGTTTAGTAAATCATTGCAGTTTTTAAATTACTAATACAGTTGCTAAGTGAATCTGGCTTCCCCATTGACTTTGCTTGTCAGAAGGTCACAAAAGATGATCACATAATCCCAAAATACTGCAACCATCATAAATATGAACCAGTTGCCGAGCATTCAAAATTTGATCACGTGATCATGAGAGTGCTACAATGGTCATAAATGTGAAAAACAATCATATATTACTTTTTTCAGGCTGTTGTAACTTTGAAAAGTCACTAAACGAATTGCTGTAAATTGAGGACTACCTGTACAATATTCTTGGTTATCACAACAGTACTTCAACATGTTCTCATGTTCCAAAGCACTGAACATTATCACCTATATTTACTACATCATGTAAACATTCTTCCTAAATCCAATTCCTAGCATAACAATTGGAAGTATGGAATTTATCACTCTACCACATCTAGAGGGTACCAGGTAAGGAAGTATTGATGAAAATGGAAGACGTTTACATGCTAGCATAAATAAACAACTAGTGGTTAAGAAAAAAATAATTGCATAGATCAGTTCTAATATACACTCGCACTATTAAATTTATAGACAAATGAATTGGCAAAATTATCTCACCTCCTTTTTCTGTGACTCTAAAATTAGAAATTCTTTATGCCATTTCTCATGTGATTGAATGTCTTCCTTCGTTCTATCAGGAAGGTATTCTAGGGTTTCAGTGATGTACGATGGTTTCCCTTTATGTTTTCTCCAAATTTTTCGGAAGATTTGATGATCACATTCATCCCAACCTCCTTGCCTTCCTCCAGTTTGCTGAAGAAATCTTTCAAGCTCAAGGACCTCTTTAGGAAACTGATTTTGGACTTCCTTATGTAAAGGAAATACACATTGCTTGAAAATTCTTGCAGCTGAAGTTCCTACAGCCCACATCTCGATTTTTCTTTCTAAGGCACTGATCTCATTAGTAGCAGCATTCTCATCTCTTAGAAGTTCATCATAACTAAAAAAAAATAAAAAATATAAATAAATCATTTAACATAGAATAAAAACATGTGACTAATTCTGTGCCTAAGTTTCATCAACATACATCTTGTAAAAAGATGTATAAACTGAACAAATATACAAAAGCTGTGTGATGTGATATCATTTTGCTGCTCATACACTCATCATGGCACTCAGAAAATCCAAATGGGGTATTTAGAACAAATCTTTAAATCCTGACACTGGTAGTAAACCACAGAAATTTTCTTCAGAGAACTTTAAATCATAAAGATATAATAAAATGTAAGTGTTATTCTTACCAAGGCCAAATACTGTATTGTCTTAATTAAACACAAAGTAAAATACCTATCTAAAATTAATTTGGATTAACTTTTAAATTCACAATTTTTTTATACAGTAGAAATATAAATCAAAGATAAAAATAAGATAGCACACTTCAGCACACATTAAAGGCTTTTCTTTTACATCCCTACACACACACACACAATTTTTATAGCAATAGCACAAATTGGTCAAAATTATTGTCCCTTCCTTATTATAGATAAGTATAGAAAAGAAAAGTAGTTTGGTCATGGCCGCCAGACAAGCTCATAACAAAAATAATTAATGTTAACCAAACATTTCTGGATGAACTGCTCAATCAGATAAAAAGCTGTTCATAACCCCATTTGAATGGTTTGAATAGTAGAGATGAGTTTGCCAACAAGGGGATCCTCTTTCCCAGGTGCTCAGCAATGACAGTTGTAAGGAAAGATCCATATGTGAATTGCAACTATAATTATGTGGCAAAGAGAATGCCTCCTACAGGCATTGTTAGCCTTGATTTCCCTCTTCCTACTTGGCTCGAGAATTTTCTTTCCAGAAATTAAAACAAAAAACGGAAGAGGAAGAAAAAAGAATATCATCTTCCAGTGCTCCCTATATCTGATGTGGACTTCTGGAAATAGCCAAGAAGATGCTGCTTTATTCTGCAATCCAGCCATACATTTTAATTTTATTCTTTAATTTATGTCCTGAATTTCAATTAAATGGAACACTTGTGAAAATTTACAATTTGAAACATTAAAAAAAACAACAGTGGCCAACAGGGAATTTAATCCTTAACTTCCATAAAGATGGTAAAAGAGGAGAATATTTCATATCTTTAAAATGCACTTTACTGTTTTATGGGTTATAATATATACAATATTACTAAATATATCTTTATTACATAAACAAATTTAGTTTTTGAGAATAAACTGAACATTTAAAGTATTTATATCAAATACCAAGAATGATGTCTGCAAACTTAGAATTTACTTTCTACATACCATTTGTAGTACTTACTTCTAAGTACTTTCTATAACACTATTAGAGGGCCTTTGAGTTATTTATGCAGAAATGCTAATTTACTGGAAAACTGTTTTAATAAAGTTAGATTTGTATCTTTTTGTATTCTTTAATTTTTATTAACTTTTTAAATATTATATGAATGTTTCCTGGTTAACATTTAAAATTTTCCTATTAATTAACTTATGGTAAGAAAACCCAATATATACATATTTTAATTTAAAAAAACATGAATACATTTGTCGCTGCTCTTCTTTAAAAGAACTTATTGCTGTTTCAGCTTCTTCCATCATTTCTCTAAGCTTGTCAACAACTACAAAAGAGAGAGAATGTTTGCATATCAAAACCGAGAAGTTCAAACATATCACAAAGTATAGAAAGGTAGTATATCTTAAATAATCCAGTTTAAAAGTAAAAATATAATAAAAAAGAAAGGAGATTTGATATATGCAAATATGCTATTCAGTTCCCAAAATGTCCATGTCAAGAACAGAAGCATAATCAGAAAATAAATTAACAAAATCAAGTTACAATTAAATTATCTTGATCTAGAATAATAAGATTTTAAAATTTAATAAACTTTTTGTATCTTCAACAGTGAGACAGAAAAGAGAACTTTATCAGCAGAAGCATCCCATAAAACCTTCCTTTGCAAAAATTATTCCCTCTTTTATGCAACAATTCAAGCTGAAGGAGTCTTGTTCCATTTTGTATGTAGTCACTTTGATTTGATCACAGGTAAAGGGATAATTGCAGCTATTCTGATATTAATATAAAGTCACAATACTCACTACAGAAATGTCTAAGGTGACAACAACATTCTTTAGAATTTTTTTCTAAGAGGTTCCTCGCATTTTATAAGTTTAAGAAAGCAAGTTTGGTGTGGTTAGGGTGCTGGCTTAGAAACCAGGAAACTAAGTTCTAAGTATCCCTTGGACATGAAAACTGGCTGACTGACTTTGGGGCAGTTCCCCTCTCTCAGCCCAGTTCACCCCCATTTGGTTGTTGTGGAGAAAATAGGAGGCAAGAGATATGTACACTGCCTTGAGTTGAGCAATTTAAAAAATAAATAAAAGTGAGATAAAGATAATACTTATGCATATGAAAGCCAATACCAATTAAAAAAACTGGCACATATTATTTTACATTGTTGTGTATACAAAGATGGATAAAAATGCCAAATCCAGTCTGAACATCTGGCTGACTATGTGATGAACTATAATAATGAAAATCAAAGTTGGAAGATAATGGCATAAAGTAGCAATAATTGTCCCAGTAGTTATCGGCACACAGGGTGCCACACCAAAAAATCTTGGGCAGCATTTATAAAATCTGCATATTGCCAAAATTTCCATTAGTCAATTGCAAAAGGTCACACTGCTTGGATCCACACACATACTACACTGATACCTTACCATATCCTAAATTCTTGGGAAGCACTCAATGTGTGTGAAGACCAAAAAAGTGGCAGCTGTGACTTCACATTTTTGTGAACAGATAATAATAATTTCAACATGATCCTTAGCAAGTGAATAGAAAACTATTCAGTCTGAAAGTTACCTTGCAACTCTGTTCAATTTAGCCAAAATGTGAAATAAAAAAACTTTTCAACTTTATAATTAGGAAATTGCAAAGTACTATTGCTAAAATACAGATAATTTATAGCACAATTATTCAAACTATTTTTAGTGATTTTGCTTATATAACTAAAACATTATTAGCTGCTTACATTCTGGAGTTGGTTTCACATCTTTTAGCTGTCGCTGAAGTCCCTTAACAGCACTATGGATTCTAGTCAGTTTTTGCTGTATTTTTGCTTCTATGAAAAAAACAAGCTCACATAGCATCTTATTAGTATTTTTCCACTAGAAAATTATGTTGCTTTAATATCTTGCCCTCTTATACCTTTAAATTCCTTCATGTTCAAGTATCATAAAAATGCACAAATGCCTAAAACACTGCTCTCTACAATTCTTAAAATAAACGTTAAGAAATGAAGCAAGAAATTTTGAGATATTAAGAATTTCTTAACAATTTTTGTAAGTCAGAACAGGAATGCATTATCTTACATACAGTGAGTCAACTTTTCTTTATTCAAATGTCACTCCAACAACCCCTGCCCCTGCTGTCTCTTTCTACACGAAGGTCCTTGATCTGGCAATGAATGAAAAAGTAAGATATCTTCTAAAACTGCTATTTTCTCTGCAGAGGCAATGGATAATCTGGCCATGGCAAAGTAAAACTCTTATTCCACTATTAGATAATTACTTTGAGATATTCTGGCTCTATTCGCTAATATTATATAACTCCGAACAGGAAATCCATTGTTTCAATCAATGACGGTTTCCTAATCTGAAATAATGAGATACTATTCTGAAAGTCCGTTAATCATCATATAAACTGCAGAGAAGCACACTATGAAAACCTCAAAACTGATGTTGTTTACATAACATAATGAATCAAGAAGATATTTTCAGTATTTTTCAAAATAGTTAATGAATAAATACAAATATATAAAATAACATTTTACTTTCTGTTTTCCGGTTTTTAGTCAATTTGTGTTCAAGTTCTTCCAGTATGCAATATTCCATCCTAAAATCACTCTTCTTATTGAAAAGAAGAACATTCTTATCCTTTTCAAGTTTCACAAGTCTAGGAAAAGGGATAAGATTTGTTGAAGTACATATATGACAAGGGACAGGATACATGCTACTATCAGATTGATTTGATGCCACAACTTGATCTTGTGAGCTGAGAGACTGATTGGCTCAAAATCACCCAACTGGCTTTCATGTCTGAGTGGAACGCCTGGGGAAAAAAATGAAAAAATTGGGGAAAAAGCAGTTTTCTGTTTTTTCCCAAAGCCATTTAGAAAAAAAGGGGGGCGGGGGCGGGGGACTGTTTTCCCCCCAATTTTTCCGGGTTTTTTTCCAGGCCTTCTAGCTGGTGTCTTAACCATTAGACCACACCAGGCTCTCTTTCGAACAAAGCATTCGAACAAAGCACATTAAATAAGTATTTTAATGGTCAGTAAATCCAGTTTGTATATTAATAATATACTAGTAAGTAAATTTTAAAATAGTCTGCAACCACATCATTTTTATATGATATAAAACACCCCTTCATTTACAGGCAAATTTGATGTAAACAGGATTGGTCTCATAAAAAAAGTAGTTGAAAGAAAACCTTTCATCCCCAAAGTACAGCACATAAAGAAGGTGCCTGTGACATAAGCATCATAAATCCAATAATCCACAGAATAATCCTAATAAAAATATTTGAGAATGTAATTTCAAAATAAATAAAATGTAAATTAAAACAGTCTTGTAAACAAGCAATAGCCATGAGGATATCATTTTCCAGAAAGGAGAGAATTATTCAAAATTAAATTTAGAATGAAAAATATTGTTCCTTAAAAGCAGTGGTGGGATTCTACCGGTTCGCACCAGTTTGGTAGAACCAGTTGTTAAGAAGTTAAGCAATTCGGAGAACCGGTTGTTAGAAGAAATCTCCTTTTGTTTTTTTCCACTTTACAGGGTTAATCCTGTAAGGAATTGTTGTTTCCTAGCATAATGTTTATTGCCCTCCTTACAGAAACTGCCTCTCCATTAACCCTTATTACATTCTTGGCAGTACACCTAAGCTCCCGGAGCTTCTCAGAGGTGTTTTTTTTTTGCTTGACTTTCTTAAAGGGGAAGGGTTGTTTTAAGCTTTTTACACAGCTGCTGGGAGGAAATACTCCCCTGTTGGAGTTCTTCCAGACAGGGTGCAATGATCAGCACTTTGAAGAAATAATTGAATAATGAAGCAGAAGCTTTTAATGACAAGGAACCAAGATGAGTGACATTCAGCAAGGCTTATTGGCTAACTAAAAAGATTGACATTCAAACGTGAGTTTACATACCCTTTCTGACATTTGGTCTAAAACTAGTTTTTGGTGATGTTTAATCCTGTGTTTAGTGATGAGATAATTTTCCCTATTCAGCTTTGTTTGGAAGGAAAAATGTTAATCTCTGTTCCTGAAAAGAAGCAGCTTCAGAAATCTGACTAGTTCCTGTGTCTGTTTGTTCTGGTAATTGGTTTAACAAGCAACAGATACTCTGTTTGTTCCTTTGCTTCATTCTGGAGAGCTTAAATGACCTCTCTGCTAAAGGGTTTCACTTTATGAGCAAGAGTTGGCTGCTGATACTTATCATTGCATTTTAACTATTTTAATTCCTCAAGGTGCTCTGCCACCCTGCCTGATTTGTAACTCCAGTTTGCAGGTATTTCTAATCTAATGGTTGGTATTTAGGGCAGCTTTTTGCAAGCAAAGAAGCTTTTTGTATTTTTATACAGGTAATCCTTGACTTACAACAGTTACAATGGCATGCAAAAAGTGACTTATGACCATTTTTCACACTTACGACCATTGCAGCAAACTGTCATTAGGGCAAAGAAGCGATGCCACATGACCACCTGGCCACGCCCATCTGGTCACATAAAGCACCACAGTTGTGAAATGAGTGACATGGTTGTTAAGAATGCTGCAATGGGTATAAATAATGAGCGGTCATAAGTGCGAGGACCGGTCAAAAGTGCAAGGATCTGTCAGAAATCATTTTTTCCCGCCCTCTGGGTAGTCCCTATGTGCATATGTGCATAGAGACTACTCAGAGGGCTGAAAAAGTTATTTTTGACTGGTCCTTGCACTTTTGACTGGTCCTCGCACTTATGACTGTCCTCACATTTTACATTTTATGCCCTATCTTGTCACCATGGTGAAGAGAAGCAGTTGTGAAATGACTGTTGTTAAGAATGCTGCAATGGACATAAATGATGACTGGTCATAAGTGCGAGGACCTGTCAGAAATCACTGTTTTCAGCCCTTTGGGTAGCCCTATGCACATAGCCACGCCCACCCAGTCACATGATCACCAAGCCATGCCCCCAAATAAGCCACCCCCACAGAACCGGTTATTAAAAAAATTGAATCCCACCACTGCTTAAAAGTATAATTAATTATTAATTTATTATTGGATTTATCCCTGCCACAATCAAAGGCAGTTTACAAACATCTTTGAAAATGATAAAGTGTCCAAGGCTTCATAGATCAAACCAAAAATAAAATGTAATAAATTCAATCAACTCATACCTCTCCTCAAAACATACAGGCTGAAGACTTCCATACCCCAACAATTTGTTGCTATGAGATGGGTGGTCAAATACATTATTTAAATATATAAGCAAATTAGCAGTTTTTAATAGCATATAAAACTGATCACATTTCCAAGGGAAGACTATTTCAGTTCATAGGTACATCAATGGAAAACTCTGCATGTCTATACTCCACTCTCTTTGCAGATATATGGACTCTTTAGTAGATACCGTTCTCCTTATTCTCCACAAGAACAAATTACGAAAATAAATGTTTGTGAAACTATAGAAGCTACCTTAAAGGTTGCTATAGCGACTTTCATTGAATAAAAATATCAACAAAATTTCAAACATTTTCTCCTTCTTACAATACGTGACCATTTTAAAAATATTTTATTTTTGCTTTATTCCTATGTCTTGTTTTAGAGAAGTTATACATTACAGAATTTAAACTTACTGATTTTTTAGTTTATTGCCTGTTCTTATAAATTCAATTTTCTTCACTTGATCAGTTTTGATCTTCCAGCTCTGAAAATGTTGAAGAGCATCTGAAGCACTAAAACAGCTGCCATTCTATGCAAAACACAATTTTAAAAATCATTATAATCAAATACAGCAGTACATTTTCATTAAAGAGTGTTTAAAACATAAAGACGGGAAAGCTCAATTTAGATCTAAAACTACTTCAAACCTCATCTTAATGTTATTCATTTTAATAACATGGTAAATGCAATTCTGCAGGGAACTTCCAAAGCTAAATTCTTTTGCTATTTTACTACCTTAACAAGCTTCAAAATTCTATGGCAAAGGATATTGAATACTTGAATGTTGAATTTGACAATAAAGCAGCAGAAAATTGAGAAAACTTTTTTTCCAGAAACAGGGAATACGCTGGGAGGGAGTTCCACCCAGTTGCACAACAGGAAGATAGAAATAATATTTTTTCTACAATTAAACAGTACGAAGAGTTCCATGATTTATCTAAAAGACAGATACATCATACATCCAATTACTCTTCCCGTGTGTCTGGGTTTCCTTGGATATGCATTTTGCCTAGCTGGAGAGCAATATTTCCCAAAATGTCTGGAATTGGAGCAACAGCAAATGACAAAGGGCCCTGGCAGTTGAGAGCAGGAGGCAAATGCAGACTTCAGAAGAAAATCTGACACAGCATCCCAGTTTTACTGTCCTGGAAAAAAAAAGTAGCTTCTGCCATCTGACTGTTGCAAGGGGGGGGGGGGAATCTATCACACACATAAAAATGAAATATAGACAAACACAAGATACCAAAAGCATCTGATAATGCTGGACAGATCTTTAAATTTAATATTTAGAGCAAAAATTTCAGCTTCAGATCACTGGTTGAAGGGATAACAAGAATAGAATAGAAGAGAATAGAGAAAGAGAAGAGAAGAGAAGAGAAGAGAGAAAGAGAAGAGAAAAGAAGAGAAAGAAGAGAAAAGAAGAGAAGAAAGAAGAGAAATTAGAATAGAATATAGAATAGAATAGAATAGAATAGAATAGAATAGAATAGAATAGAATAGAATAGAATTCTTTATTGGCCAAGTGTGATTGGACACACAAGGAATTTGTCTTTGGTGTATATGCTCTCAGTGTATGTAAGGAGAATAAAATACATTCATCAAGAATAAAAAAAAACACAGTGATAGTCAAGGTTACTAATAAGCTATCAAATCGTCCTAGGAAACAAAAACAATATAATTGAAAAATACAAGCAACATGGTTATAGTAATAAGTGGGAAGAGATGGATACTGGTAAGGAAGAGGAGAATAATAATAATACATATTTTCATAACAAACCATGGTTTTCATCACCGCAGAGATTTGTATAAAGATTTTTGATTCTGCAAGCTCGAATGCATGGGGCTTCTTCCGCTCCCTTTTCTCCTATACAGGACTTCAACTACTGATCCGATTCAGTTAGGAATCCTCCGCTCCCTTTAAAAGGACGAGGTTTCTTTGTCCATGCCATGCCGTGTCTCGGAAGAAATCGGCCATAGCCTGTGACACCGGACATTTCTGCTAACTGCCCAGGTGAATCAAACTATAGAGTTTCTAGCATAAGACTTCTCCTATCTGGAGCCTTCCAGAGGCGGCAAAAGGTAACTGCCAGCATTCCAGGAATTGTAGCTCAGCTAAGGTCCAGGTCGCGTAATTTACTGGGAAGACGAGGTAGGGTGGAGAGTTTGATTTCAGCTCGATATATCCAGCCAAGTCACAATCCCCCGGCCTCCCGTTGTTCAACCGGGGAGGAAGGCTTTCGTAGCGAAGCAGAGGTGGGCGAAATTACCTGTTGGTACCTGGTCCATTCCTCAAGCGCCGGCGTTGCTAGGGCGGCCATGTTCCAAGCCGAGAAATGAGGCGGGACGGCGCCGCGTCGCAGGGAGGTCTTTTCATTTCTATGGTTGACGTCATGCCAGTACGACTAAGAGCGGGGCGAGTGGGCAACGGTTCGAGGAGTAGCCGTTTTTATCTTTCTTATACGGTTTTTTTTATAGGAGCTGCTCCTGGGAATCAGTAGAGAAATTCAGATCATTAATCTAGCTGTAAAATTAACAACATTCTAAATTTCTTATACTTCATCTAAAAAAAAAAGTTTGTCCTGCTTCGTTTGTATTCTGTGTGGATGGGCGGGTGGGGGGGGGAAGTATGTTTTTGAGTCAGATCAAACTTCATTAACCCCATTTATTAAAACTGGTCAAAACCCACTTCCCTAAAATGAAAGCAAATTGAAGGCAATAAAAGCAATTAAATAAGATTATTGTAATAAAAATAGATGGATCAAAAATGCCAAATCTGAACTCTGGATTTCTTGGTGTTCTCTGAACTTGTTTAGAGATGTTCCATTACAAGTTGACTTTGAAGATGATGTGGCTTCAAAGACAGACAATTAGTGATAAAAAAAAATTCATAAACTTTAGCTGCAGAACTACAAATGGAACAATACAAAATGATACCTTTGCTGAAAATACTTTATTGTTAAATTTAGTTTTTTAAAATATGCTGGATATGTCCTGGATTTCTTTCTTTTTCATTTTGCACAGCTTCAATTATGTTAGTGATTGTTCATGGTTTTTATTTTGAATTTAATTAATTAGTGGGAAGCAATTGAAAGTCTGGAAATAATCATCCAGGTACATTAAATAAATTTGTTCCTATTGATTCCTTTATGGGTTGGAATGAGAATCTCCTGTTTTATTCTCACACAACATTGCTCTTTAATCCTTAATTTCAATTTGGAGTGTTACAATAAAATGTTCAAATGCAAGTAGTCCTTGACTTAGTACCACATTTGAGCCCAAACTTTCTGTTTCTAAATGAGACATTTGTTAAGTGAATTTTGCCCCATTTCATGAACTTTTTTGAAAAGTTGTTAAGTAAATCACTGAAGTTACTAAGTTGCTAATACAGTTGTTAAGTGAATCTGGCTTCCCCATTGACTGCTTGTCGAAAGGTCGCAAAACAAGATCACATGACCCAAACAATTGCATTGAATATGAAGAAGATAAATATCATTGATAGACTCTTTGGAATAAGATAAACATTTTTAAATATATATAATTCCAGGATAGTTTTTATTTTTTTTATCTCTCTCCAGAAAATATTTTCAAAAACACAATACAATGTTTATAAATGCTGATGAAGTTCTTCAGTTACCCCAAAAATATTTTTGGGGTAACTGAAGAACTTCATCAGCATTTATAAACATTGTATTGTGTTTTTGAAAATATTTTTGGAAAAGATGTACTTGTCAGTTAAGGTGTGGGGGACAGGGAATCTTAAATTGAAGATTAGTATAATTGTGAGGGAGGAGATCAAAAAAGGGGTAGGATCAGAAATATTGCAATTTAAGGGGCTTCCGGTTTGGCTTCCATCGTCGCTAGACGGTCTTTTGGGACCGCCACCCCCGCCGCCCGTAAAGAGCTGCCTTTACAGCTGGGAGGCGGCTCAAAAAACTTCGTTTCCTTAAGTAAATGTGAGGAGAGCTGGCGAGAGCACCTAGAGCCCTCTGCGAAGTCCCCAGAGTTTTTTTTTTACTCTTGGGGAGGAAGCAGGATGAGGCTCCCTATCCAGCTCGCCGCTGCTCCAGGCTTCGGGAGAACTCTGCGCCTTGCAGAGCTAGACGATGTGACCAACCTAATCAGCGAAAACTAACAGATTGCTTAAATAAGCAGGATGAAATCCGGATTTGGGACTTTAAATCACAAGTATTTGTAACAACCCTATGATTGATTTTAAGAATGAAGAAAGAGTGAAAAGGGGGGGGGAAAGGTTTAAAATGGCGGCTGGCTGAGGCTTGAGAAGAAAGCTGAAAGCGAAAGTCTTTCCGTTTGAATGGCTTAATATGTTACAAAGTTTTTGAAGCAATAGTGCTGGCTACAAGAGAAGAGAAAAATTTCTGTTTCATGCTTCTTCCTTCTTAGAGACTTGATATTGATATTGTGTGGAGAGAAGACTTTTTCTTTAAAAAGAGACTATTTGCGTGGCAGGATGGCATTAAAACTGACAAAGCCAGACAACCAAGCTGTGGGCGGGGGGGAGCTCCCTCAATTATAAATCACAAGAGCAATTTTTGAGCTTGCAGATGCAGAAGAATGGTTTTAAAGATTTAAAGGAATTTGTTCTGGAGGAGTTGGTAAGACATGATGAGATTATGAACCAGAATCTTGAAAAATTTAGACAGGAAATTAAAGAGTTGGTTCAACAAAAGTATGATAACCTGAAGCGCTATATTGTAACAGCTTTGAAAAGTTTTTCAGAAGTAATTATAAAGATGGATAAAGATATCAATTTAGAAATAGAGTCTAAAATGAAGGAAGCTGATTATAATATTCATAATTTGGATACAATACAAAATACAAAGAATTGAAAATGATTTGACAATGATTCAAGAAAAAAGCTCAGAAGCAGAGTCTAAAATGAAGGAAGCTGATCACAAGATTTACAATGTAGATAATATAAAGCAAAGGATTGAAAATGAAGTTACAATGATGCAACTCAGATCCATGGAATTTGCGATCAGAATGAGAGGAATACAGGAAAATAACAGAGAGGACTTGAGAAAGATGTCTGCTGAAGTTCTGGCTGTGATTTTAAAGGTCAGCTCTGAAGAAATATTCTGTAAGATTGATAAGGTCTACAGAGTAAATTCTTGTGTGGCAAAGCAAAGACAATTGCCTAGAGATGTGGTGATTTATTTTACTGATAAAGGAATAAGAAATGATATTGTGCAAAAGTCTTTTAACTCCACTCTAGAAATGAATGGAATGAAGATTTCAATATATAAAGAGTTGCCGTCCAAGATGTTAAAAGATAGAAAGGACTTTGGATTTTTGGTGACTGAGCTAAAGAAACAAAACATCCCATTTAGGTGAGATGCTCCAGTTGGGATAATATTGAGATATCAAGGAGAAAGATATCAATTAAACACTGTTGAAAAAGCGGAAGAATTTTACTACAAGGTTTTTAAAATGGGCCCAACATCTCCACGTATGTCATCAGTGTCAGGAATACAGGAGGGGGATAAAGAAAAGCAAAATGAACAAGAGATTGAAACTCAGGCCAAGCAGATGGAGATGGAGGTAATGGAAAAACGACAAGTTATAGAGGGCTTTTTGGATGAGCCGCTTTTGGATTCTCCTTCAGAGGCTATAGTTGGATCACCTATAAATACAAGAGAGGCGGCTTTGGATCTCGATTTGATGACTCATCAAGTTAAAGGCCAGCATGTAATTCAATCAGCTGATATACAAGTCCTAGAAAGGCAACCAGGGTGGAGATCTAAACCACAACAAATTAAGAAAAGAAGAAGCAGGTTCTACAAAACCAAAAAATTTTAAACTACAATTCTTTTTTAGCCAACAGATTAATCCCAGTTATTTAAGAGACGATTAAATATAATAAGCGGGATTTATAGAAGGCTGATACATAAAAATATAGCTGAGGCAAATTATAGACTTATATTATTTTGAGAAGAATAACAGATCTCTGCAGTGCTGGTGTTTTTGGGATGTGGAAGATGGCCTGTGATTGAGCGGATTGGAACTTTCTATTTTGGACTCTCTGAAAAATGGATTACATATATGTTGAGCTATAAGGCGAGAGAACTATGGAATTGGGGCATGCAGATGATCTGGCTGTTACCCTAACGTGATTGTTGGAATTAATAATCTAGACAAAAGACATTATAGAAGATACCATATGGAATATAAATATAAAGTCACTCGGGGTTTTTATATATATATACAGAAATACTTATTAATGATGGGGGCAGATGGTAATTGAAGACACTGAATATGCTGTTGGAAGCAGGACTTGATGTTACCCTAACATGGTCGATGGAATTAACAATCTAGTTGAAAGACATTACAGAAGATACTATATGGAATACAAATTTAAAGTCACTTGAGGGTTTTATATATATATGGAAATATCTCTTAGTGATACGGGCAGAAGAATAAAGATATTAAATATATTATGTATGGTAGACCTGTAGGAAAGTGGGTGAAACAAAATTGATATGGTACAAGGTGATAGGTAACGTTACTGATTGCTTAGTTTAGGAAAAGGGATGTTATGTTTAGATATTAATATACTTAAAAGATTTGAATTAAGAGATATATGTATGGGGGTGGAGGAAATGGGTAGATTATGAGTAGAATAAATGCCAAATTAGGATCTATTATATAGTTTTATAGCCGAATGCTGTTTTGAAATATATAGTATACCGGGGACATAATAATAATCTTAGAAAGAAATGTTTAGCACATAGGGGGTGGTGTAAAAGGGTGGTAAAGTATTATATAATGTGATATTAATTTGGATTTCATCTTGCAGAAGCCATGGGGGGAGGGGAGGGGGAGGGGGGTTAGGGAGGGGGGGGAAGGGGGGAAAATTTGTATTTGAAAAACTTTTTCAATTAAAAAAAAGAAAGAAATATTGCAACTTAAGTTCACACATCCGTCTTTTCCATATGCTTGGCTTTCCCTTCTTTTTTCCCTTCTTTTTTTCTCTGTCTCTGGTAATTTATTTTTACCTTTTGCTGTATCATTAGTGTATGTACTCCCACAAGTGCAGAAGTTAGAGTTATTTTTTAAAAAGTTCAGACTGATGCCAAGAATGAGAACTAGCTATAGGAGAAAAAAAAAACAGGCCTATATCTTCAAACTTGAAACTAAAACTTCACAACTTTTTGGGCCAGTGAGCATGCCTGAATTTATTATAGCGTTGTAAGATTGCTCACAGATGAT